TTTCCAAAACCCCCAATATACGTACAACTCGGGAATCCATCTAGTGGACCCCTAATAAAACCCCAATAAAAAGTAAGGTATGGAAAATAAAATCCAACACTAAAACATGAAAGGAAATCCTACGTAGTCGGAGGAGTGAGTGACTGTATCTGCTCGACACAATTAAGCTCTAAGCCTGAACTGACGAACACCTAAAAAATAAAAGTGGGTCATGCCCACGAGCAGGTTCTACTCTACTACAATCCATATAGAAACCCGATACGTAGATACATCCTAGATAACTCAGCAATAACTAAGATAGTCCATAAATGTATACATACACACTATAGGATGCTCATTAGCCCATAGGCCTATCTCAGCCTGAGTAGAGATATCATGCAAATCGCACATAACATGGGCATGTATACCTAGACCTACCAGGGACTAGGTGTCTATGTCCAGTTATCCATCCTAGGAGATATATGCACCCTAACCATGATCCTAAGACTCAAGCCCATATCATGGTACCATAATCATATGTATATATAGTCCGTAAAAGCCTAATATAAAAATATCATCCATTTGATACAGTGGCCTGACATATATATAAACATCCATCCAAAAATCAAAGTATGTCATTCAACTGTTTATTGACGTATAAGTAGGAATTAACTTTTTTACTTAATCCATTCCTTATTCCAGAATAGGTAGGACTTAGTGTTTTGAACTAATCCATCCCTAGTATGCTACTGTCCCATACCGGTGCATACAATTTACCAAACAGTCCAAATAATTGATGCAATAATTAGTAAAGTAAAACATTAATTAATCCAATCTAAGCATAATAATTTTTAGATAATTAACTACACTTAATACACTACTAAAACATGATTAACACTATTAAATCATGTAAAGAAATAAAATTGTTAAATACCAGTAAGCAATTAAATCAACTATTCAATACTCAACATACAGATTTATTGTTTAACTTCATGTTGTTTCATTCCTTAGCATATTAATGTAATCATGCTTCTCAGTTATTTTTTATGTCCATAACAGTTATTTAAATCATTTAAAGCAACTTAAAAAACTTAGGAATACTTCCAATGGCCAAACAGAACTTAAAAACACAATTTCTGCACGTTCTAGCGCGAGAGCAAGCTCCCAGACTTTGAGAGCCAGCTCTGCCCACTTGGGAGCCAGCTCCCCACAAGTGGGAGCCGGCTCTATAGTGTTGGGAGCTAGCTCCCTCCATGTGGGAGTCGGCTCTGTCCCTGAGGGAGCTGGCTCATTAGAAAGCCGGCTCTCTTTCCCTGAGAGCCGTATACTGTCCCTGTTCATCTTCTTTGCCTCTGTATTATTTTTATTAAGATTCCTAGAGTTCAATGTATGACCTTAAGGTTCTAGAAACTCATAGAATTTCAGTACGCATTGCTAACAACAATTTAAAACATAATCGGTAACAATTTATGCAATAAAACAATTTCAATTAAGTAATACATAATATAGTTTACAGTCTAAATTAACATGCATAAAACATCCATTTTAAAGTCTGATTAAGTCCTAGAGACTATGTAGGAAAGCACATAACACAGATCTAAGGGAAGGAGTTAGAATAGGAACTTGCCTTAGGTTTCAGTTTGAAACCGTGAACCGCCGTCTCTGAGTTTTTTGACAATTTCTTAACTGCCGTTACTCACCTCTGTTGCTCCTGGTTCACACCACAAGTAATCACCTTCCTCCTAATTATCCCTCTCAGTTCTCTCTCCAACCTCTCTATTCTCTCTCTCTACCTCCACTGTTCGTGAATAGGGTTCTCAAACCCTCAGCAGACTTATAACTTATAAATATATAGGCTGCTATAAACCTAATTCTAATTCCAAATCAATTAAGTTGGCTAACCTAACCCATGCGATTACATAAAAAAAAATAAAAATGCATATACTTATATATATATATATATATATATATATATATATATATATATATATATAAGCTACACAAACCAACCCTAATCCTAGTTATACCTTAAGTCTGTCTTAAGGAAAAAGAAAATAAATATTACAACTAATATAGTAATAATAATACTACCATAATATCACGTACCTACATATATGTAAATCCTTTTATAAATATAAATATAATTATATATATATATATAACTGAATCCTCCTTATTATTATTAATAAAAATATAATAATAATAATAACCTCCATATATGTATACTCATCTTAATATATATATTAATATACTAATACCCATGGGTCATAATCCTTACCCATTTAGGTTTCATCCAAGTAGTCCATGTGACCCCTTTATTTGGTCCATTACTACTATCCAAATCTATCATTTTTAAATAATAATAATAAAAAAAGCTAATTCATTTAATCCCAACAAATAAAAAAATAAACAAATACACATCATCAAATCAAGCACGTCAATTACTAAATTAATTACACTCTATTTAAGCACATTTAAATCACACAAAGACACACCAATAATACACATAATACACTTCAATTAAACACATAACATATAAACACATAGTCACATAATAAAATAAAATGCAATAAAATAAAATAAAATAATTAAATCCCCATTATATCATTTTGAAAACTAGGGGTATTACAAGGTTGGAGCTAGACCGACCTTGTGGAGGCTTGTGTTGGTGCACAATCATAGCTAATGGCTTAGAGTGATCGGGTTCTTTACCCAGAGTGGTCCTTTGAACTACATCATGACATACATAAGCATAGGTTTCTTCAAAATATAGCATTGGATCCTTCCTTAGAACCTCACCACGAATTTGTTCAAATAATCAAGCTCAGCTAGAAGATGTGCACACGCAAACATTCAACAAATTTTTGATACGCGGTAACATCATTGGGATTTTTCATGACAATTTTATCACGATGATCCAATTCTGGGAAAATTTCTACGGGATCACCATAATATGTTGGTAGAGGCCGACAATTTTGCTTGGTGAAAAGGCTCGCTGATTCAATGTGAAGATCTGTGATTCATCAGACTCATCATAGAATGCTTTGGCGAAAGCACTCCAGATTTCCCGTGCGGTGCGCAACCGGAAATAGCGCTTCATGATTTCCAGTGACATAGCAGTCAACAACCATTCCTTGACCTTCTGATTTTCTGCATACCACTTTGCATAAGAGGCATCAGTAACTTCGGGTTGAGGTGTTTTGCCAATGATATACTCAAGTTTCTCACGTCCTGCAATATGCATCTCTATGATTTGGGACCATACGTCATAGTTGGATTCGTTAAGGGTGATTCCAACATTAAAACTAGAACCTTTTGACTAAACATGTATAACTTGGGGCTGTGCGGGAACGATTGAAAATTCAGTTTTGTTGTTGTCTTTGGTCATGGATGATAGGGATTATAACAACAAAGTGCGGCTTCGGGTTATAGTGCGATTCGTATTTTAGGAATTTTGAGACGGGTTTTTCAATTCTGCTTTGATACCAAGAAGAATTTCAAGGTTTAATAATTTGATGATTTTATTCTTCTCCTAATGGAGAAATATATACTGATTTACAAGTGTATAGAACAAGTAACCTAATGCAATCAATTACGCTAATTATAAGAAACCTATCAATTATGGGAAAGATTTACAACAAAAGTCAACTCTAATTAATTAACTTAATTTACAGCTATCTTAACAATTTTTGAATAGTGTTAAGAAGAATGAAAATGATTTAATTGAGTTGTATTGGGGCCTGAAGACCTATTTTCTCACACTTACCCTACTTTTTGAACTTCGAATGCATATGGATATTAAAGTAGTGCATATATATGTGTGATTCATTTCTCTTTCTTATGCAATGGCATGACAAATGATCAATGAATGAACGCATAATATTTGAGGTTTGGGATCTCGTTAACCCAACAGATTGACAAGGTGAGGTTAGGTTTCACCATCTTTTTTTTTTTTTTTTTTTTTTTTTTTTGGGTTTGAGAATCGGTTTGATTTCCCCTTTTTTTTTCTTTTTTTCTCCTTTTCTTGTTAACCGGGTCGATGCAGGGCTGAAAGAACTTATTTTCTATTAGGTACTTGAACTAATTTCAATTTGTTTCTCTAAGTAAAAATTAATTAATAATTAGAGTAAACCAAATAAAAAAGAGCAGTTAATGCTTTACCATAGAGCATCTCCAATGAAAAATGGTATTTTTCCATGCCCAAGCTATATTTTGAGAGAAATTGTAGTGTCAAAATGTTATATTTTAGTGCTCCAATGGTGTATTTCATCCAAAATGCTATTTGGAGTATTATTTTCATCCACCTGCTATATTTTGAGAAATGACACCGTATAAGAAAAAAGAAATCTCAAAAAATTTTGAGAGCTACTATATATGACAATACTTTTGATACTCTCAAAATATTAAAGGTCTTTTGAAAGCCCTTTGGAGTGTATTTTTTATCATTCACCTGCTATATTTTGACTTTGAGAAGTCCTTTGAGACGGCATTGGAGATGTTCTTCTTTAACATTTTTACAATGAATGTATATTTATGATTTTCATGCATCACATACAATTAAAGAGAAGTAGATAAGAATAGTTTATTTAGATTTTTTTGGTACGTTCTTAGAGATTAATATTTTAATATTTTAATTAAATAAAAATAATCAAAAGTGCCCCAGAAACCACCCCCCCCTCAAACCCTAGGCTGATGAGTCACATCATATATATGCTTGGAGATATAGTTCTTGTGTTAATCCTATGTACTATTCCAATAAATTAATTTTTTTTTTCTTTCTTTTCCCGGCAGTTGATAACTTGATAGGATCCTTGCACTAAAGTAGGAATGATTTTTACTCATCTGTTTGGATTAGTGGTCCTACTCAGTACTTATCTACCAAAGAGAGAAGAGAACAATGTTTTAAAAAAGAAGATACTGCTACTACTTTGCTACATTATAAGATGGTCTCACTTATGTTCTTAGCTCCACATCCCAACCTCATCAACAGACACAAACTCTGAAACAAGTATAGTAAGAAAATGCCTATGTGGATTTCAAGAGGTACAAGTGTGCCCCTATCTGAAGAGCAGCTGAAGGGACTTCTCAAGAAATATGACACCAACGGTGACGGCAAGCTTAGTAGGAAAGAGCTGAAGGCGGCCTTCAAAAGCCTAGGGTTGCATTTCAGCAGCTGGAGAGCTAGACGCGCATTTCGCCATGCAGATGCTAACGGAGATGGATTTATTAATGAAGAAGAGATGAATGAGCTTGTCAAATTTGCTTCCAAATGGGGATTTACTATCGGCTAGCTAGATTTTGTAATTATTTTGCATCCAAAGGGTCTAATATATAGTAATATATATATACATATATATATATATATAATATGCATGTTATATAGCTACTTAATTAGCATGAGGTCGCAAAAGCTGCATGCAGCTTCTTATGTATATGGAAAAGCATGCTTAAGTAATGTTAGAATCTTTTAAGGTAAAATTCATCTTGTGTAGATCATGTGAAAATTTTAGCTAAGTAAATATTATATGTGTGTATATACTTAAAGCTTTTTTTTTTTTCTAAAAAAAAAAATAAAATTCCCCATCTTAAATTTTTTATTAATTCTCACTCCGATACATAAAATTTTAAAATTCTCCCACAGTTTTAATCTTTAACCTTCAATTTGATCTCTCGTTCTCTAGCCCTTTAGATCATTGGACACTTCATATCTCCATAGTTAATCCTCTCTTCTTTTTTTTTTTTTTAATTATTTATTTATTTATTTTAGGTCTTCTAGAACCTTATATTTTTCTTTAATGAAAAATCACAATTTCTAAGAAGGTAAGGGAAAAAAAAAAACCAAAATAAAATACTTTTGTCTGCTTCTCTTTTATGGAAATCATAAATTTACACTAGTTATAAAAAAAAAAAATATGTGAGGACCAATGATGTTTTAGAAAAAAAAAACACGCAATTCTCTTATTTATTTGATTTGATTTAATTATCAGTTAATTTTTTATTTGGAGGACTTAATTGAGAATATTTCAAGTTCCTAATACAAAAACAAGTTAAAATATTTATTTATAATTATTGCAAACAAGAACTTTCTATATTTGTTGAACTGTAACGAATTTAATTTATTAAAAATTCTTAATAGTATTCATTGAATCACTCGAGGAATTACTAGGATACAAGCACATAATTGAATATGTTTTATTTTGATTTATTCTAGCTGTTACTTAAATATGCAGTTTTTTCTCTTCAATTTATATGAAAATCTTGCTTAGTATAAATTTTTTTTGATGTTACGCTTGGTAGTATTGAATCAGCACTCTAAAATCAGAATTAGAAGAAATTTAGTTCAATTTTTAACAGAATTAGAAAAATTTAGTTCAATTTTTAACGAAATTCTCTCCAATTCCATTTTTAAGGCGCGAGCACTCCCAAGTTGAGCTATTATCAATTAAAATTAAATTTTTGTATTTATTATTTCGTTCAATTTATTTTTGCCAGTAAGTATTTGGTTCATTATTATTCTTCAACGACTTCCCCCAATTGAAATCTGCCTTGTTACTGTTCCAAAAGTAAGATATACAACGATATTAAAGGATGGTGTGAGTGTGTGTACATATAAGTATATAAATCATATAGAGGTTAATTCAGTGATGTAAAATGCAACTTCACTCTCTCAATCATCTATAAAACTTTATAGTTATCTTATAAAATAACAATAAAAAGAAAAACAATTATCCAAAACAGGCCACCTGGAATCTAGACGTTGTCGGACAGTGTGAGTTTCTGCTTTTGCCACCCTCAATTATTGAAGCATGATGCTGATATAAAGATTTGTTCTGAGCTTCTCCAAAAGTGAGATACTTTCAACTGTATTCTGCATGAGACATATTGTCGGATGGCAACCCATAATAGTATTCATTGAATCACTGTAAGATGGAACGAGGAATACACTAGGATACAAGCACACTTAAATGGTATATCTCTCCTTTTTATAGGGAAGATTGAGTGTTCGGATTCGAGACAAAATATAAAGTATATGGGTATGAAATTGCTTGAACTTTTCGAAGATAAAAAAAGGTAAATTAAATTAGACGAGAGTGTAACACCATTATTTTCCTCCAAACATTTGCAGAAGTGGGTGAAGGCTGAGTAATAGCTTTCTATAATACGACCATGTTATCAATCATGAATTTTAATTTTGAATTATTTTTATTGGTAAGGAAAATCAATTTCTCTTTTCCAAAATTCAATAAAGTTTATGTCCAATGATCTTGCATACAACTACTGTTTAGGTGCCTCCTTATGCTCTTTGGTTTTTGTTTAGGACGCCTCTATGAGTTCTCTTGTAATATGATATATGTCGCAGCTTTCTCAATTGTTTGTACAGATTCGTTAAATGCTTTGACATCTCCTGAAGTTTCAGTTTAATGCTCTCATATTAAACCTAGGCCAATTTTGCTCTCACACTCCCTTTTTAAAGTATGAAAAATATGAGTATACTATTATACCCTTGGCTTTATTTAACCATGAAAAATATATTGCTGATATGTGTAAGCAAAATGTGAAATGACAATACCATCCGCCTATTCCAATTTTCCCAGCACTCTCTTTCTTAGTCTAGAATTTCACTTATTTTCCCTCTCTAAAATGGCTCCCAAGGCAAAGAAGAAGACAATGGCGGAGAAGAAGCTGCCAAAATGGTTGATGCGGACGATGATGATAACGGTGAAGTGATCAGATTGAGCAAGAAGAAACCCGGCCAGACCCGGACCACGGCGAGAATGATGTTGAGCAGCGATGTTGCCCAGCTAGATTTCGTCAACGGCGATGAGAAAGGGGGGCTCGGTTGTTGATGACGATGAGTTTAGAACCTACCGGCGACAAATGATAGAGATGGATCTTGAACAAAACAATGGATGTGTCGACTGTAGAAGTCGTGAATCGTGATCATCGGTCATCGGGCAGTAATCCTCTCCATGGCACCTCTCACTGGAGGTTGTCCATGGCAGATTCAATGGTTGGGATGAAGCCACGTCAGCCTACCTTTCCATGTCATTGCCTTGTCAGTGATGACGAAGTGCCAAGTCAGTAATAATTTTTAAACCTTACTTTTTTTACCATGTACGAATAGTGTAGACAATATATATACTAACTATATATGAATACAATATACCAAAACCATCCTCACCACCGGTCCTCCTCCACCACCATCGCAACCGTCGGCAACACCACTGCACCACATAAAAATTTTCCAATCTCCAAAATACCCCTTCTCCTCATTCAACATTTTTGCATTTTGTGGTCCCCACAATTTTGTCCTCTTTCGTCTTTTCACACCAGATACGGTTCCTCTTTTCTTCACCGGTGAATCAGCTGTCTGAAAACAACGGCGCGTGACCGAACAGATCATCCTCTAGCTTCGGTTCTCTCTCTGGAGGACCGGGAAGTCCTGGCCTACATGATTACCAGGTCGATGATGATGTCCACCTTGAACTCGTCTTCGATCAGCGCCAACGACAAGAAGAAGAAGAATTTCGACACCCACAAGCCTCCAGTCTTCGATTGTGGCTGTTTCGACTACTACACGAGCTATTGGTTCTGATCGGTTGGTCAATTATACATCAACCTTCGCAATAGCACGAATCATTGTAAAATAGGGCTATTGGTCGGGTAAGTCGAACCACTGGGACTGCGCTAGTCTATGGCGACCTAAGTGTCTAGAATCGTTTTTAGAATGATAAGGGGTAATAAGGGTTTGTTTGTTTGTCACTGAAACTACGGATTCAGAATGCATAAAACGATAAATTGAAGGAGATTAAAAGGAGTGAAACTTAGGTGGAGAGGACTAGGGAAATGAATCCACCACACACCTCATAAACATGCTAGCTTGCATATAACTTGGGGAACTACTTATGTAAATGACCATGATATATAGAGATGCATGATAACTACACCATCTTCAAGAAGTTCATACAATCAGAGCTAAGTATAAACCATCTAAGTATAATCCCCTAGGAATGGCCTATCAAATCCCTTACTTTGTATGGTAAATGCACATGTAATCAAAGACTAAGTATAATCCATCCACGGTTGGTATGAACCATCTACCTAACTACATTAAACTAGGGGTGTAGTATGGTTCATCGTTCCTAGGAATGGACTATCAAAACCTTCACAAGACATGCCAAGAAAACCATTTCATATTTTCATCTCCATTCTCACTATGAAGATATAAGCCCTATAATCATGAAAACATACAATCTAAGACAAGATGATACATTTAACACAATCATTTATTGAATTGAAGAACATTTACAACATGTGTAAGTCTCTAGAATATGAAAAGATCACAAATACACTTCATTCCCCAAATTAAAACAAGATTATAGCATGCTTACAAAGGAGGCTTCATCACCTCCCTAGATGGAGGTTTAGTTACCCATTGATGCACTAGAGGAAGGAGGAAGCAAAGCCTTGACCTCCATTTTCGAGCTCCCCTCTTCTAGCTCCAAGAACACACCTTTCTTGCTCTATTCTCTCTCCTCTATCTTGTAAAAATGAAACTCATGAAATGTGTGGCTCTTATCCCTCTTATCTACCACCAAACTAGGCTCTCTCTCTCCTCCAAAAACATCCCCAACCACCTCATTAATAGGGAAATCCAAAGTTGGAAATTTCAGAGCACAAGTGGGCTGTCTTGTGGAGCAAACTGCCCAAATTTCGAGTGCTCGAAATAGGGCCCCGAGCACTCAAATTCAGTGTAAAAAGCTCCATGCTTCATTTGCTCCGCCCAGACCTACTTTGATGAATGGCCATAACTTTACGCTCCGAACTCTGAATGACAAACGGTTTAAAGATTTGAAGAGCTGATTCAGAGCTTTAAAAACTTCATGTTTTGATGAAGACCCAAATCTCAAGTCTGGTTGGTCGAAAATGGGGAGAAAGGCAGTACTTCAGTGTTGCCAGGTAGTTCTGCGCACCTCTGGTAACAAGGCCATAACTCTCTGCTCTGAGCTCCGAATGATGAACCGTTTGAAGATTTAGAAAGCTAATTCAGAGCTCTAAATCTTTCATGTTATGATGGAAGTCCAGTTCTCGAGGTTTCTGGGTCAAAATGGCGAGCAAAGTCCTGACTCCACTGCTGATCTCGTGAAGCAATCTGCCCTAATTTCGAGCACTCGAAATAAGGTCTCGAGCACTCAAAAATTGGCCAGAATGCCTTATGCTTGGTTTGCTCCGCCCGGACCTACTTTGGTAAAACGGCCATAACTTTGCGCTCTGAACTCCAAATGATGAACCGTTTGAAGATTTGGAAAGCTAATTCAGAGCTCTAAAAAGTTCATGTTTTGGTGGAGATCCAATTCTCAAGGATGGTTGGTCGAAATTGAAGAGCAAGGCAGAAATTCATTGCTGCCAGGCAGTTCTGAGCACCTATGATAAGAAGATCATAACTCTCTGCTCCGAACTCCGAATGATGAACCGCTTCAAGATTTGGAAAGCTGATTCAGAGCTCTAAATATATCATGTTATGAGGGAAATCCAGTTCTTGAGTTTTCAAGGTCAAAATGGCGAGTAAAGTCCAGGTTCCACTGCTGCCAGAAATTCAGCATTGTGACCTTTGATGTTCAAAACTCCACAAAGCATCCTTCTTGCTTCTTTTTGGCCAATGAACCTAAAAATATGCAAAAACGTGCATATGAAGGTAATCTACATAATTAAACAAATAATGGACTTAAATAATGCAATTAAGGGCGCTTGAATATGCAATATTCGGCGCTTATCAGGTTCCAGTGGGACTCGTCACCGAATCGTGAGCTCATCCACCAAGCGATTGAGGCCTTCGTGGAACACTTGGCCAATGGCGTTGACAATTTCAGAACCCAAAATAAGGAATCACATCAAATTTCTTCGGAGAAGGTGAATACAACCACAGCATACCATGGTATGGAAGCTTCTCTTACTGGCTTTCATTTGATTACTTCTTACATATATAGCTTTATTATTTTTTATTTTTGTACTATTTTGCAGATTTGTTGAATTGGGTTTGGGATGAACAGACTCATTTGTGGGTTCTTGTGCTGACTTTGATTCAAATAAAGAACCTAGAATCATATTTCTTAAGGTTGAGCTACGAAGACCCTGTAATTTATGTTTTTGGTTTGTGCAGTTCCTAATTTAGATTGTAAGGTGTTGCTGGTAATCATTTAGAATTTTAGATCTACTCGTTTATTTTTATTTCACAGATTATTGATATAGGAAAAAAAAATAGTCGAAAGATCATTATTTGATAGTGGAATTAGTGATTTTCTTAGATACACAGGCTAAAGTTGGAGTTCTAGACTATTTTGTTGATGGGTTTTGCTTAGATTTTGATTTAGAAATAGGAACTGAGTTATTGAAAAAAATCTTTGTTGTTGTGACTTTGAGAAAAAAGATGGTAGTTTTTTAAGTTTTGGATTGTTTTTGTTGATGGGTTTTGCTAGATATCAATCACACCTTGAAGTGTTCTAGTTGCAGAGTAATTGTGGCTGAGGAAGTTGGTGTTGGGAATGGAGGAACAAATAATTTTTGGTGTTGGTTCTTCTGCAAAATTAGCTAGGGAAGTGAAATTAGAAAAAGATGAAGAAGAGTTTCAGAGCTGTTGTGAAGATGAGGATGAATTGAAGGAGAGTTGGTTTCGGTAAGACTTGTCGCTGACCTGTGAGCTCATCAACCAAGTGATTGAGGCCTTCGAGGAACACTTGGCCAACGGCGAGAAGTCCAAGAAAAGAGAGAAAGGGAAGAAGAGAAAGAAATTGGGTTGCCAGTCCGTCGAAAAGACAGCTGATGTGCCTGACGCAATCGTGTCGGAGTTTGAGAAGGGTTCTTCCTCTTCTGTGGGTTCGTCGAAAAAAAGACTCTTCCCTTCCAAAAAAGGCTAAGGAGGCAACGGATGGAGGTGGAGATCTTGCCGTGGACGAGGTTGGTGTCGAAGTGGTAGAGGTGGAAGGTGAGGTAAGGGAAGGTTGTGAGGATGGTGCGGCAGAGGTTGGTACGGTGGTGAGCGGTGAGGAAGTAGAAGACAATGTTATCCGGGCAGGAGAAGTCTGTACAAATACATAGGGTACTATTATATAACTACAAGATAAATACTATATGTACATACCTGCCATGTCACCCATGCCACGTCAGCAATGGACACCCTCCAGTGAGATGGTGTCCGGAGATGATTTTTCCCCTCCGTCATCCCCTTAGTCGTGATCTCCTCTTCCATCCTTTTCCTCTCTCCATTACTTCTCGTTGAGCAAACCATCAAATGATTAGAGAGAGACTATGAAAAAAATGAAATCTTTTAATTCATTTGTTTACTGATTTTCTAGTCAACTTCTCTCTGGGAGAGGATTTTGAAAGATACCCAGTTGTTTTCTGGTAATTATTTTGCTTCTTTCAGTCTGTAGGGGTTCTTTTTTACTAGGTAATAAAATAGCAATAAAATAGAGATATAAGGAATACAAATACGAAGGAAAAATAGAGGAGATGCTCAGTGCAGGAGGAGGAGAAGAAGACCAACTATCAAGATCAAGATGGTGTTAGGGCGAGTATATAATATTTCATGACAGCTTTTCTTCCTTTCGGGGGTTGGTTCTTTCTTCATAGGACAGTGCCATTTATAGATCTAGATTCCATTGGTTATTATCTAATGGTCCCTTTTATGCATGGTCCCTCGCATGCATCACCCCCAATCTGGATTACATGAGTAATCCTGATGATTTAGGGGTCTGAAGGGTCTAATCCTTTCCTCGAGCCTTGTCCCATGTTGCCATGTCACTTCTCCCCTAATCAGGGGCATTAAATGTTGCTTAGCCATCAGTTGGTCAAGCCTGACATAGCATTAATTGTGATTTTAAGGTTTGCTGTCACGACGTGTATAATCCTGTCATCTTATTAATTGGGCCTTGCCGAGAGCGAAGGCACCTCTTGACTTCTCATCCACCAATCCAAGATCCTCCTAAGTTTCCCAAAACATAGATTCCCATAACACGAAGATCCTACCTTCATCTCGTGCTAAGGAGCTCCAATCTTTTAAAATAGCATCGTCTGGCGTAACACCAGGATTCGGGATATTCAAGAGTCAGTCTCTCAAGACTTGATGCGCCTGGTGTGGTGCCAGGGCTTGGAATGCTTGAGGATCAGCTTCTCGAGGCTTATTGGGCCTGGAGCAATACCAGGGCTTAGAGTGCTCGAGATTTGATCTTTTACGGCTTGATGAGCCTGGAGTAATGCCAGGGTTTAAAGTGCTCGAGATTTGATCTTTCGAGGCTTGAGGGGCCTGGAGCAATGCCAGGGCTTAAAGTGCTCGAGATTTGATCTTTCGAGGCTCGAGGGGCCTAGAGCAATGCTAGGGCTTAATGTGCTTAAGATTTAATCTTTCGAGGCTTGAGGGCCTAGAGTGATGCCAGGGCTTAGAGTGCTAGAGATCTGATCTTTCGAGGCTTGAGGGGCTGGAGTGATGCTAGGACTTAAAGTGCTCGAGATTTGATCTTTTGAGGCTTGAGGGCCTAGAGCGATGCCAGGGCTTAGAGTGCTCGAGATTTGATCTTTCGAGCCTTGAGGGACTGGAGCGATGCCAGTGCTTAAAGTGCTCGAGATTTGACCATTCGAGGCTTAAGGGCCTAGAGTGATGCCAGGGCTTAGAGTGCTCGAGATTTGATCTTTCGAGGCTTGAGGGCCTAGAGCGATGCCAGGGCTTAGAGTGCTCGAGGTTTGATCTTTCGAGGCTTTTGACTTTTCAACTTGCCATGGAGGATTTGGCTTGGGTTGTATTGACTTGTCAACGTGCCACATCAGCATCAAATGAGTGACACCCACATTTTGCCCTCCTACACATGCGACGATTTAGAATGAATTATTGCACGTGCAAGACTAGGTTTCTAGGTCATTTATTATTTCGAAGAGGCTAAAGAGACGCGAGCGTGAAAGGTCACCTCCAGTTATTAATGCGCCGTCTGTTGCCGATTTGATTTTTGGGGGTTCCTGAGGTGAGAGGGCTATTAAAAGGGAACAGTGACGGTGCAGAGGGTTTACTTGTGAAAAGAACTTAAAAAGTACTGAGATTACCTGAACTTCTATCGTTCGCCGGAGGAAAAATCTTACCAAAGTTTAAAGTTCCTTGGTTCACTATTGTTCTTAGTGGAAGGGACTGCCACCATGGTTAGCAAGAAACAAGAGTTATGAAAAAGGATTGCCCTCCGCCAAAGGTGCCAGCAGATTCAAAATGGCGACGGGCGCCATTTTTTTGGAAAAAGTGACATGTTTTGGCATGGGGCAAACAAGTCTGTGGTCGCCGGCAAACCACTTAAAGTGGTTGAATTGATGGAGGAGGAAGTTGAAATGAACCTGGCTCCTCGCATCCCTTCAGATACGATCCTGCGATTTGGGGTCGAGCGAGGGCAATATCCATGGTCCTATGTGAACTTTAATAATCACATAAGTCCGGCCCATAGTTGGGAAAAATGTACAGACACGATCCTTGCAAACCCGGAGTACGAGGCAATTTTGGATGCAGCGAGCTTGACACCGTGTATTAAGCTGTTTCACCAAATACACATTCCTCGTGACACTTCCGATTTATGGGAACTAACTTCGCGATGGGGCTCAAGCTCGCACACTTTTATTACCGCGTCGGGAGAGTTCACTACCACTATTGAGGATGTGAGCCAGTTGCTAGGTTTACCTTTTCAAGGGGTAGAGAATCCTGGCTCTTAGGAGTTTGTGCAAGCTGAAGAGACTTTGGCTCATGATCTCGAGACAGCTCTGGAGAAAACCAAAGATTTCAGGTCGTTGTGGGGTGCACAAGGTGTTCACCATGCTGAGAGAGGCAAGGGTACACGCAAGGCCACTCTTGGGGCGTTGGTGCAATACTACTTTAAGGATTTCCCAATGACAAAAAAGAATCTCTCAGAGGAGGGAAGAAAAGGGATTCCAGGTCCCTGGGCTGATCATTCTTCCAGTCTTGCGGCCTACTTACTATGTTGGCTATCGAGATACCTTTTCGAGGGGACTCCAAAAGATGCTCCGCAGCCACGACTTGTAGATCTGGTGGTGAAGCTGGTGAGTGGTGTGAAAGTGGCCCTCGTACCTCTCTTTTTGTGAACAATGTACCACCGTCTCGACATGGTGTCGGAAGACATGGGACGGTCTGTGGGGCACTATGTTCATTGCTCGTACGCGTCTACCATCTTTCTACAAATGTTCCTATATGAAAGGTTCTAATCTTATGCTCCCATTCCAGCAGACTTGGCTGTGGACGAGGAGGTAGCGCGAGGCATGAGATGACATGGTCGGTCACCGCGAGGATGACTAGGATATGCCTTAGACCAAAGCTTCCAATTCATTAGTCGCTGGTAAGCGCCGAATATTGTATATTCAAGCGCCCTAAATTGCATTAGTAAAGTCCGTTGTATGTTAATTTATGTAGATTATCTTCATTTCTATGTTTTTATGCATTTTCAGGTTCCTTGGCCCAAAAGGAGCAAAAATAAGGTGTTGTGGATTTTTGATCAACAATGTGCTCAAAAGCTGAATTTCAGGCAGCAGTGGAACTCGATTTTGATTCCCACTTTTGACCCAGAAAGCTCGAGATCTGGACTTCTGTTATAAAATGGCATATTTAAAGCCCTGAATTAGCTTTCTAAATCTTCAAACAGTTTGTCATTCGGAGCTCGGAGCAGAGAGTTATGGCCTTGTTACCAGAGGTGCGCAGAACTGCCTGGCAGCAATGAAATTCTGCCTTGATCTTCATTTTCGACCAACCATCCTTGAGAATTGGATCTCCACCAAAACATGAAGTATTTAAAGCTCTGAATTAAATTTCCAAATATTTAAACGTTTTGTCATTCGGAGTTCGGAGAGCAAAGTTATGGCCATTTCACCAAACTAGGTCCGGGCGAATCAAAGCAAGCATGTAGCAATCTGCTCCATTTTTGAGTGCTCGAGGCCTTGCTTAGAGTGCTCGAATTTGGGGCAGAATTGCCTTCGGGAATTCTCATTTTGGCAGCCACTTGTGCATTGGTTTCCTTATTTTTCTACTTAAATCTTTATGAGGTGGTTGGGGATGTTTTTTGGAGGAGAGAGAGAGCTTTGTTGAAGGAGATAAGGCAAGAAGGCCACACATATCATTAAGCTACTTTTGATCAGATTTTGGGGGAGAGAAGAGAGCAAGGAAATAGAGTTCTTCAAGCTTGAAGAAGGGAGCACAAAAATGGAGGAGGTCTTCAAGCTTCTTCCTTCTTCCATTGCTCCTATGGGTAACTAAATCTTCTCTAGGGAGGTGATGAAGCCCCTCCCTTGTAAGCATGTTCTAGTGTAGATTTTACTTTTGGGATTTCAATGTATTATTGTTGGTGATTTTATGATCTAGAGCATCATATGTGTTGTAATGAATTCTAATGTCTATACATGATTATTTAAAGCTATTCATCTTGTCTTAGATGGTTTCTCTTCCTAATCATATTGCTTGCATTTCCATAGTGACAATGGAAGTTAGATCATGGAATGGTTTTAATGGCATGGAGTTTGAGAACTTTGATAAATCATTGCTTAGGATGCCCTTTGATGGTTTATACTTGATTCTTAACTTTGTGTGCTCTCATCATTTAATTAAGGGCTTGATAATCTTTGGCTTAGGGAGCATGTTGAAGACTACACCCTAGTTTAGGTAGTTCAAGCATGTGAATCTTTGATGGATTATACTTGTTTTTGATTAATGAACCTCTTGAGGATAGTATAGCAACCAAGGGTTGTTATGTGTCATGACCATCATTTATGTTGATTTTCCCAATTTAATCTCAATCTAGAATATGTATAGGGTTGGAGCGG